CGTCGTGGTAATCGGTGTTCAGGCATACGTAACATGTGGGCCAACCATCTCAGTCGATGAAGATTCACAACCTCATCAACTGATTTACCATCATTCCCTGATACCCTGCGTCTAACCTCACTATTACTTACCCGGTGATCCCAACAGACGCCAGCAATATTTCTAAGGCATCTGTGGTCAAATACTAATAGCTTACGAGTGTCTTCTACTCTTAATGGCCATGTTTCGTCGTCGTAAATTAAAACAGAACGGACTGCCGCGCAGTGTACTCGTCCTTTTATTGATAGACGGATATCTCACCTTCGCCACAGGTGACGTAAGTTGGCAAAAGCCAAGCGAGCTTTTCGAATCCGTGCTGAGATTTCGTCAGACACCAACCCATTAGGGCTGATCAGACTTCCAAGATAAGTGAAGTTGTCAACGCGTTCCACTACTTCACTCCCTATCCTTAGTTCAGGTGTTAACGCAGACCAGTCCTGAAGCAACAACTTGCATTTAGAGGGAGAGAAGCGCATTCCAAACATTCTGGCATTGTTGCTCAGTGCTACCAGAAGACTCTGCATTTTGTCAGCGTCTTCACCAAACAGGACTATGTCATCCGCGCATTCTTAGTCGATAAGTAGACCTACTGGAAGGAGATCAATACCCGAGAATTCAGTCGACGAGAATGTTATTTTCATCAGTAGGTCTGTGATGAAGTTGAACAAAAATAGAGAAAGTGGACAGCCTTGACGGACACCACTTGAAGTTGCAAAAGCAGATGACAGTTCACCATAAGCTCTCACTCGACTATTAGTGTTCGAGTAAAGAGCCTTCAAAAGGTTTATGTACTTCTGAGGTACGCCTTTCAATGACAGACACTGCCACAGCATCTCGCGGTCTACAGAGCCAAATTCTCCTTTTAATTCAAGAAAGACCACCATTGTCGGACGTCGACAAGTATGCCTGTGTTCTAGAATCTGACGAATGGTGAATATGTGGTCGATGCAGCCACGACCAGGTCTGAAGCCAGCTTGAGTCTCTCGTGTTTGCAGTTCACGAGTCTTAGTTAGGCGTCTGATAATTATCGAGGCTAGTATTTTAGATACTATATTTGTTAAACTAATCCCTCTGTGGTTGTCACAGGATGATTTTGACCCTTTCTTATATATTGGGACGCTAAGTGATTGTGACCAGTCAGATGGGATAACGTCTAACTCCCAGATCCTAGCTAAAATATTAATCAACCTAATCGCTAAAATTGGACCACCATCTTTAAAGACTTCTAGATCCAATCCATCTGGATCAGCTGCCCTTCCTCGTTTCAGATTAACTATAGCTTTTTGAACTTCAGCAAGAGTTGGGGGACCTACTTCAATGTTCCATTCACACTGTCTGGGAATGGAGGGTAGTTGTAGTAGCTGAAGGCCAGCTGAACTGTTCTCTGAAATGTTCCACCCATCGTTCTAAACGTCTGGACTGGGAGCAGATTAGAGTATCGTCTTTTTCCGATATAATCTCACTTACACTTGACTTATTAATTCCAGTTTCTTTTATTAGTCTGTACAGCTATCTTGTGTTCCCTATAGTCGCCGCCTTTTCCATCTCTTTTGTTTTCGTTGCCCACCACTGCTCACGGTCGTTCCCTAGACTTTTGCTCAACTTAGATCAGATTTGTTGTCGCTCTTCATCATGTTCGGAACCTGATGGGACGAGTTTGCGAGAATCCATCAGTGTGATAGACTTTGAAGAAATCCACTGGTTCTTTGTAACCCTGTGGTTTAAATAACTGATAGATGTCACTGCTGTTTGTTTATCTTTCCAAGCAACATCAGGGTCAGCTTCGTTTTCAGAACTACCTAAGTTTAACCTCAGTTGTTCCTGGAACCTACTTTTGGTTGCGTGCCCGTATTAGGGCATGGTCGGAGTCCAAGCTGGTTCTCCAGAATGAGCGACAATCTTCTACCGACTCTCTCCAACGATGACTGATGGCAATATGGTCTATTTGAGTCCATCATTGGTTTGGTGTAGGGGGTCGCAATGTTAGACGATGTCTCTCCTTATGCTTAAAATTTGTGTTTGCTAAAAATAAACGATTGTCTGAGCACAGTTGCAGCAGACGGTCACCATTATCTGTTCGCTGTGCCGGAATGCTAAAATATCCACCTAAATGCCTTTCTGTTTGGTTTAAACTATCTATCTGGGCACTAAAGTCACCTGCTACGAATACTATGTCTGGACGTTTAGCTTTCTGAAGAAGTTCAGATAGCTTTCTGTAAAATTCATCTTTCACATCATCTGAGCTACAGTCGGTGGGAGCGTAGGCAGAAACGACAAAAGGGCAACGACGTGTGTCCCTATCCTTCCGAGTTCTTACGGAGCCGTTTAGCCGAACAGTACATAAACGACTGTTAACGGGGATCAACTCTAACAGTGCTTGTTCCGCCCTCATGCTTAGCGCTATGCACACACCTGCTAGTCCACGAGAGCTGGCCGTCGGGTCACCACATACACGGAGGGTGTATCTCGTCGGCTCTCCGTTTTGCCGAGGTGAGGTCAAGTGAATGACCACACTGGGATCCGGTATGCGTGTTTCAGAGACACAGCATACATCAATGGTACGAGATTCTAGGGTTCTAGCCAAGGAAGCCTGTTGACCGATTTGACATAGGGTGCGTACGTTGAAGGCTCCAATGTGTAGTTTGGAGCGAGGTTTCAGTAGACCTGGGACAGTGTTTTGCGCAATAGAATCGTTGGCTATGGTGACACTTGAGGGGGAAGCCGAAAGAGGAAGTTTAGAGTTGAAAGTCGATGTAGGAGGAATAATAGGAATTGAAGAGGAAGGTTGATTATGAATACAGTGGTCTTGAGTGCTGTTAGAGGTATGAGGGTGGTTATCACTTCCCGGTTGCCCACACCATGGAAGGGTTCTTCTGGAGGTGCCTGAAAAGAAAATTGGATTAGAGGTGGTCTTAGTGACCTGAGAGCGTGACCGCAGTGCTCAAGGGACAACTGCTTGAGGTCGGTCACATACGACCTTTTTATGGGTAATTTTTGTATCAGCTCCGTAATCGTTGAGACCTTAACTCTGGAGACGGATATCCGTGGGCTGAGGCGAGGTGTGCATTCTTAGAGTCGACCTTTTCTGACCCCACCCCTCCTTGTGGGAAGGCAGCATCGCTGTCATGCTGGTTGTCTGAAGGAAACACCTTACTGCTGTCACACCTCTGTACAGTCAGCAGTACGACTTCGCCTTCGGACCTTAGGTTTGTTGCTTTTAGTCTTACCGCTCTTCAACCGACCTGTCTGACATGGTAGGACCTAGAGGAACGGTTGTTCCAGCCAGTATAGCTCGGTTGCTTCATCACGATAGGCAAGCACGACCACCACGTCAAGGTAGCAACAACAGTTCATGCTAGAGCATTTCGAGAAGGAGTCCTGACACTTCCCACCCTCGGCCGTATCAGGGCGTTTAGGGGCACGGAGTGCAATTCCGTCAGTAAGCTGATGGATATGAAATAACACTCTGGCACTTGGTGTTTCGTAATTAAAAGGCAAACAACTCTGCTCAGAAATATTTAGGATTATCTGGATCCATAAGCCAGATATGCCTCCAAAATCGATTAACTGGGGTGGTGACCAAGTGATTTATCCACTCGAACTTCAACCACTGAGTGGCAGGCTCGAAATTCACTTCACTTATTTCTATTTAGGTAGCTGAGTAGTGTAACTATCCTTCACATTAATAGAGAATCCCTACAAGTTGAGGAAATAGGCAGGTACTTGTTAAATGAGCTACACTAACATTATTTATGAAAGTCAGTTTATGTTATAGAAAAATACGATTAATAGAGATTACATAGCATGTAGTTATCAGTGGAGTCCGAAACGCGCGTTTCATGCTATTCGGGACTCGTCAGCTGAATATACCTGCGTTCCAGAGTTGATGTTCACTCCGGGACTCAAACCCAGTATCGTTTGCTTCAAACACCATCGTGTTGTCCACTTAAATACTGAGTCCAGGAGTCACTCACTTGTGTAAAGGGAATGAGTTTTTTAATTCAATTTGAAATCGTTTATATCCTTCAGTTGTTGATATTTTGACTGAAATATGATCCGTTTTAGTTGGCATCCCATACGAATTGCCTCGATATATCCATTATGACACAAGTTAATATAGAATAGATGGCATGTAGCAAGCAAGATTGGCCAAGTTTCAGTCAAAATACTAACAATAGGATAATCCAAACCATTTCATATTAAATTACAAAACATAATACAATCAATTTGAGAATATACTATATTTTTAGAGAAAAGTTTAGCACAAAAATTACATCAAAATACTTGACAACATAGGATGAATTATGGATGTAGAATAAACCTTTCTACTATGTACATCGCACGTTGAAGGAACAGCTAATGAGTGTTGATCCACAAAGGTACTTATGAAACTGCTAACGATACGATCATCTTGAAATATAACTTTTATTTCTCATCCAAGTATATCTAGCCGAAGTTAGTCCATGATGTTAACTAACTTCAGACTTATATATTTTCATTTGTGTTTTATGACTGAATATGAAGTGAATTTTAAAAATAGATAACTAGTTACTGATTTTTACATGTGTTAAGTTATTTTCAGGGATTTCATCTCTTCGAAGTGGGTCGTTTTAACCGATTGCTTAAAAATATCTTAACAAAGGGTGAAAGGTGGAGAGGATATAGAATGAGAGATAATCACTTGAGAATACTGTATTTCACATAATAAAAACATTTGCTCACATGTTCATACTAATTGAAGCAATCCATATTGCATGTCTGATACCACATATTCAAAGTTTAAATGCAGCATCAAAGAGGCTTCTTATTCAAATGAGATCACTGTAGGCAAATAATATGTTACCACAAAACCAAACACACCTTCCTATAATTATCTTACAAAATAATGCCGGTCAAACTTGTATGAAATACACCCCAATAAATAAAACAGATACTGTATACGTTTTCACACCAAAACTAACCTTCATAACAATCTCGTACAGAATCGAAATATACATAGTAATCTTCATGTTTTAGGAAAAGCAAGCTTAGCCATGACTCAAATGCATAGATTGGCACGTAGAATAAAATTCGAACGACCCATCTTTGCTCATTTGGGCAAGTATAATTAATTAGATGCAAATAAATCTGTTTAGAAATTAATAATAACGGTAAGAAGCTAATATGCATGTACAAGAAAAAGCTATATTCTTAATTAGTTTAGTAAATAAAACAGCTCATTATATGCAAAGTATATTATTTCTGACTGGTTTAACATTTAGTATAACTCGGTATTTAAATATAGGATCATGCAGTCGCTCCTAAGCTACATCGTGTAAACTGACGACTTTACCCAGCTATCTAAACAGGAGATGGGGTTTGAGTATACAACTCAGTGGTTGGAAGTTGACTCCTAAACACCGAACCACTGTTATACAAATTTAGTTTGGATCAGTAACTAAATACAGATTTGTGTACTCAACTATAAACTATACTTTTCTTGTGAGACCTACTGTACTATTCGGATTCTCAAACGGTAATAGGTTAGGTAGCTTTGAAATATATATTATGTCATTGCTCCACTTACACATAATAACCATTATTCGGTTTACAATGTGGTTATTTCAGATGAGTAGTCCCTCAGCACGTCATCTTAGCTGATAGTTATTATTTTTGTGAATTTTCACTGATGATATTGTTCACGTTAACACAACTGACTACTCGAACATAAGAAGCTAATACAGACTTGCTTTCTCAGCACTATTCATCAAAATCACAGCATTTTCATGTTACTTGAATATGAAATTTATGAACACTGACTAATTTTCTTACGTTAAAGCATTTCTAAACACATATATTTGAAGAGTGCAACTGAATGATGCCTGAGAATATACCTATACAAATGCTATATTTCAGAATTGGAAGATCATGATATAGTCCATTTGGAAAATAAATCTGCCAACTTTTACCGATTCATTTCCTTCAGCAAATTACTGGTATATCCAATATTTCCAAATCGAACTGGTATCAGTTGGAGTATTGTTGAAAATCAGACTTTAGTGGAGGGCGCTGATTGATGGTAGTTTTACAGACGTCGCAAAATGACTGGTGTTACATGTGTGAAGTATACACATATTGTGGCTCCTACAAAATTTGGTCTGCAACAAGTAACGCACTGATGATGGTTCGAGATTAGAGACAAAACAGCCCTGTAGTGTTTGTTGATTTTTACTAGTTTTTCAGATGACTTCTGTCTGTAGTAAAAACCATCTTTAGATTAAACAGATTGTCCGGCGCTTTACCGGGTTGATGGACATGGAGAGTCTACCTAGGGAAGTTGGAAAACCCTCATTTCAAACCAATGGTGCACATGGGCTCCAGGATCCTGAAGGAACAAATGGTGTACTAATTGTTGGTCACCGGCTACTATGGGACTGCATCTCCTGACGTTGCTCCACTGCCTTGTGGATCAAACCTTTAGGTCATAGGCTCCGGGTGTGGCCCCCTAAGAAAATCACCTGCTTATGTCTGGGCGTTCGGGCAGTACCACAGCCATCACACAAATCAATGATAACTGCTACTGGCGTCATCGTAATTGTGTGGCGCATATGTATTCGGTGCTCCCTTGTACTAACGTTTGTGTTCAAATAAAGTAATAATAAATAGGAGAAACGGTACTATGCACAGATGGAATAACCATTTTAACGAGGAAGTATACGAACCATGTCACCTCTTAAAGGGATTTATAAACGTAAAACCTTCCAGTTTAGCATGTTTTGTTATGAAGTATGGATGTTCATCACTTGGCTACTGACAGACTGAAAACGGCTAGATTTTGAAGGGCTATTCCGAGCGTCTATATTAAAAGTTTTGTATTACTGAACTAAATCTTTATAAATATAAATCTGTATATATTTTTAACTACGAGCTGTTAATAATAAATTAAACAAACTGTTCTATGAGATCAAATGAATGTTTCAAATAAGTGATATTTCTTTACTAGATGTTGGTGTTCGTAAGCAAAGAAGATTCCATTGGGTTATATGAGTGCAGACAAATTTCTTACGAATATCCAAAATACTTGACTCTAGGCACAATTAGAAATTTCAAGAACTTCTTAACTAAACTACACGCCCACACGCGAAAATCCGTAAACAAACTAACTTGGTGGCAGGTAATGACAATTGCAGTAAAAGCAACTAATCCCGTAAATACTTGAGCCCACTTGGATTCTAAAAACAAGAATTCTTCTGACACGTGCTTCGATGTGTTTCCAATATATGAAGTATTTAGCAAAGCGGTAGATTGGATTCCATAAGGAAGTGTCATTTCTAAAGTTGACGCAATATTTAGCCTTTCGCGTCAAAATTGAAGATGCTCGGAGTGCTAGGGGAGCGTGCAAAGTGGAGTGCGTGACGAAAGCTGGAAAAGAGAGCAAAAGAAAAAGTGAGTCGATGACTCAGTAAACATAGAATCCACTTACATTTAATAACCAAAACTACCGAAAACTAAAGAAAACAAAATCGCACTATTACGAAAGTTCGATAATCACAGCCAGTAATGCTGACATAAGAATTGGGACTCGAAGCTAACACCAGCCCTACTTTTAGCGATTCGCACCTAGCTAGAAGATACTTTGTGTACCGGAGAGCATGTAGAATAACATGGCGACAGCTGGGAGGAAAAAAGAAGTAAAAGTGGATCGACGGCCGAGCAAGCACACATAATACACTTACAGTTATTAAGAAAAGAATGCACAACAAATAACACTGACACAAGCTTTGGATTTAGACAGCCGTGACATCGAAACCAGAAACAAACCGACTAACGCGCTACAACAATGTAAAGCTCAGCCTTTGGAAGGTTTGCTTCTAGCCTGAAGGTACCTTGTGTGTTAGATGAATGTTAGTAGCAGTGAGAATATCTGGAATAGAAGGATAAGTGAGCTGATGACTCATTTGGCACATAGTGTATTTGCATATATGACCAAAAGCAACTAACAGTAATCAGAAGGAACACGAAAGCGAGGTTAGTATAACCTGATAATCGGAACAAGAAGTTGGTATTGTAAGTTTTCAAACATGTTACACTACCACGTGTTTAAAACCCCGCTGCAGTACAACTTTCTAAATACCGAGATAAACATGAAGTACTATAACAAAATCATGTTATCAGATTTATGTTGTAAGGACAGGAGGCCTACAGCCTACGTCATTCCTTTTCTAGTATGCTTTTGTGAGTGTCTAGTCTTCTCTTGAAAGAGTTTGTAGTGACCTTTTATCAAGAGAACGCGATTGGTGTAATGGAAACAATTATTATTATAGCTAATTGTACCACGGACTGCTTTACCGTACTTGTTTATTTGACTGTACCAAAACACATACATTCTTCCGTTGGTTGTGACCTTGCACGAATTCGGTTACGCTCAGTAACCACAATCGTAACCTGGCACGATCTCGGTATTCTTTCAATACCACGAGATGGCCAACGACTGCATCTCGAGCACAGCCAACAACTGCCTTCCGATTCACCTTTTAAACAGAGGCTTGCAGCCTGAACGCAGTTCTCAAGCTTGGTTCTCACTATGATTTTGTATACTATGGGGAACATGGTAGTATCTAACTGAGTGAATGTCCGTTTTAAAGCCCAGAGGGTTCGAAACCCCTTAGCTGCGACCTCCTGACAACGGGTACCGGCACTTCCCCTATGCTGTACCTATTAACCTTTGTATCCCCAAAGTGCATGTAGATACACCTTGCCGCGTTGATAGGCATCAGCCACACTTTAGACCAGTTAATCATATTATTTAAGTCTGCCTGAAGAGCGCATGCGTCTGCATCCCCAGTTATTACTCGCCAGATCTTTACATCATTGGGGACTGTACTACACTTGGGAAATCATTTTCATACAGTATAAAAAGTAAAGGACCTAGGACGGAACCTTGAGGTACTCCACTAATTACTGGTCTCCAGATGGAGCACTTGGAGTTTATTCTTACTTTCTGTCTACGACCTACTAAGAAATCCTTAAGCCATTTTAGTAGAGGTCTGGCAATACCAAGATTTTCTAACTTCAATAGAAGTCTATCGGTTGGCTCCTTGTCAAGAGCCTTACTGAAGCCTATGTAGACAACATCCACTGATTTTCCGTTATCTAGCGCCTTTATCCCAAGTTCCCTCGCTATAAGGAGGATCGTTGCACACGATAAACCCTTTCTAAAACCATATGGTTATGGTTCGTTTGACTATTCTTTCCAATATTTTAACTACAACACTGGTGAGGCTCACAGGGCTATAGTTCGATGGAATTTTTCTTACTCCTGTTCTATGTATGGGAGTGACGATTACTTCCTTCAGGCCCATAACAAGCTGGTCTACACTTTGTACTTTAAAGTGGTTTCGTGTGACACGTAAGAAACCTATTATTTAAACAACTGGTTGCTTTGAGTAGGATGAGGAACAAAGAGTAAAGTCGTCGGACAGTTAAAAATCACAAAACAAATATTAAAAACACTATTCCAGAAGATTATACTTTTGAAAACTCAGTCACTTGCCGTAACGAAACGTTACTATGATGTTTATATGCATATTATCGAATGACTAATTCTAATCACAAAATACAACTCCTTTAAGTGTTCTCAATACCTTCTCTTGGATTTGGAAGCCATTTCATTCATGACCGCTAAAGCACTTACTGAAGATCCTTGAAATAAGCTAGTCAATATACATAACATATTCTAATACTTCTACTTATCACACTGGCATCGAGATGAGAACAATTATACATAATTTTCCTTTTGTCACTGTCCATAGTGGGTCACATTCCTATGTTTTTGCTTTTGCACCTCTCGTGACATTCCGGATCTCTTCAGACTTTGAAGTCACTCAATTTTGATTTATTGGACTGTATACCCATTTTTAACTTTTATTTGATGTAGACTGATATCTTACTGGAACCCCGCCTGTAGCTCTTCCAGAGTTACTGCCGGTCCCAAGCGCGGGTAGAGGAGGAGGGTTAGGAATAGGTTTAGCGACCCCATCCCGTAGAAAACTAACTCGCTAAAAAACGCTAACCAGAAAAAATAATCCAAACCATTTAAACTCTGTCTTGGGAGTTATAAGGTCTTCATTTAGAAGAATAATGACGCTTCATGGTGAAAGCCGAGTTCCATTGGAAGCCACGATGCCAATGCCCCTTCTAACAACCAGAGCACCAATTTTTATAGGTACATGGAACGTTCGAACAATGTGGGAAACCGGGAAGACCAGTCAAATATCAATGGAAATGAGGAGATACAACTTAGCAGTACTGGGAATCAGCGAAACCCACTGGACCCAAGCTAGACAGAAAGGGCTAGCTACGGGAGAGATGCTGCTATACTCCGGTCACGAAGAGGACAATGCTCCACACACTCAGGGAGTCGCTCTTATGCTGTCCAAAGTAGCACGAAATGCACTTGTAGGATAGGAATCTCACGGATCCAGAATCATCAAAGCATCATTCAAAACAAAGGAGGGGATCTTAATGAATATTATCCAATGTTATGCACCCACCAATGATAGCAACGACGAAATTAAAGATCAGTTCTACGAGCGGCTGCAGTCAATCATTGAGAAATGCCCAAGAAAGGACCTAACTATTCTGATGGGAGATTTAAATGCCAAAGCCGGAATAGACAACACTGGATATGAAGATATTATGGAACGACATGGACTGGGAGAAAGAAACGAAAATGGAGAAAGATTTGCAAATCTATGTGCATTCAACAAATTGGTCATAGGAGGCACAATATTTCCACACAAGCGTATACACAAGGCTACATGGATCTCACCGGACCACACTACAGAGAACCAAATAGATCATATTTGCATCAGCAAAAAATTCCGAAGGACAATGGAAGATGTGAGAACCAGGAAGAAGAAGAAACTACTATGGAGGACAACTGGAAATGTATCAAAGAAGCATTTACTTCAACGTATCAAGAGGTTCTGGGCCACAAGAAGCATCATCATAAGGAATGGACCTCTATAGAAACCCTGGACAAGATCAAACAAAGGAAGAAGAAGAAGACAGCAACTAACAACAGCCGAACACGAGCAGAGAAAGTCCAAGCACAAGCTGAGTACATAGAAGCAAACAAACAAGTGAAGAAGAGCATTAGAGCCGACAAGAAGAAATACGTGAAAGAACTAGCAACGATGGTGGAAAAAGCTGAAAGGGAAGGAAATATGAAACAGCTCAATGGTACAACGAAGAAACTAGCAGAGAAATACAGTAAACCAGAGAGAACGATCAAAGACAAAGAAGGCAAGCCAATCACTGAAATTCAACAACAGCGGAACAGATGGGTAGAGTACTTCGAGGAACTCCTGAATAAACCGGCTCCAATGAATCCACCGGACATCGAAGCAGCACACACAGATCTTCCTATATATGTCAATCCACCAATGACGGAAGAAATCAGAATGGCCATCAGAAAACTCAAGAGCGGGAAAGCAGCAGGACTCGACAACATTCCAGCTGAAGCACTGTTGTCAGACATCGAAGTAACTGCAAACCTGCCTCACCTTTTATTTAAAAAGATTGGTGAGGAGGAACAAGTGCCGATGAACTGGAATGAAGGACACCTTATCAAGATTTCAAAGAAAGGAGATCTGAGCAAATGTGAAAACTACAGAGGCATCACACTGCTGTCAATAGCAGAGAAAGTTCTTAAAAGAGTGTTGCTGAACCGGATGAAAGATGCAGTAGACTTCCAACTTCCAGCTCAACAAGCTGGATTCCGTAAGGATCGGTCGTGCATGGACCAAATTGCGACACTACGGATCATCGTTGAACAATCAATTGAGTGGAAATAATCACTGTTCATCAACTTCATCGATTATGAAAAGGCATTTGACAGTGAAGACAGGAGGACGTTATGGAAACTTCTTCGACACTACGGAGTTCTCGAGAAGATTGTCAATATTATCCGGATCTCATACGACTGACTCAAGTGCCAGGTTGTGCATGGAAGACAGCTGACAGACGCATTCCAAGTAAGGACCGGAGTCAAACAAGGCTGTCTACTCTCTCTCTTCCTCTTTCTTCTGATGGTCGACTGGATTATGAACACCTCGACATCTGAAGGAAAACACGGAATACAATGTACAGCTCAGAATCAGTTAGACGATTTGGACTTCGCAGAAGACCTAACCCTCTTATCGCATACACACGGACAAATGCAGATGAAGACAGCCAGTGTAGCAGCATTCTCTGCATCAGTAGGCCTCAGCATACACAAGGGAAGCAGCATCGATGAACAAGGTGGTTCAGATGCAGACGTAAAGGAGAGGATTGGCAAAGTAATGGCCACATTCCTACAAATGAAGAACATATGGAACTCAAAACAACTTTCAACCAATATCAATGTGAGAATCTTCAGTAGGAACGTCAAGGCAGTTCTATTGTAGGGGGCTGAAACTTGGAGAACTACAACAACTACCATCAAGAAGGTACAAGTATTTATAAATAGTTGTCTACGCAAGATACTCAACATTCATTGGCCAGATACCATCAGCAACAGGCTTTTGTGGGAGAGAGCAAACCAGCTTCCAGCTGAAGAAGAAATTCGGAAAAGACGATGAAAGTGGATAGGACATACATTACGCAAATCTTCCAAATGCATCACGAAACAAGCCCTAACTTGGAATCCTGAAGGGAAGCGGAGAAGAGGAAGGCCAAAGAAAACATTACGTCGGGAAATAGAAGCAGATATGAAAAAGATGAATAACAAATGGAAGTAGCTGGAAAGGATTGCCCAGGACAGGGTTGGATGGAGAATGCTGGTGAGCGGCCTATACTTCTCTACGAGCAGTAACAGGCGTAGGTAAGTAAGTACGTAAGTAAGTAAGATGTCTTACTGGGCCTATGGTATTGCGGTAAATAAGATAAATTTGTCTATAAGTGTAGATAAATGCATATATTTGTATATAAATGTATAACTTTATTTTCCATTAATCTAGCAGTTCTCATATATCAGGTATAGCAGCCCGCAAGTATCATATATTTTTACTCACTGACCTTCTTGGCTATACATTTCTCAGTCCTATGCGATTAGGTTTATTAATCTCTGACT